AGCCCTCCTTTCTAAATTTTGGATTAGGCATTACTCCTGGAGTGACAATTCCTAGAGAGTTAAGAGTGGCTACCCTGAAGCATGTTACTAGATCTTTTCTCCTAGGCTCCTCTCCTCCAACCCCCCCTTTAACATTTCCTCTCCCTTTGGAACTTCTCGGATAGTCAGGTTTCCTGGCCATAATCATGTTTTCTGTCCCTACAGAATGCACTCCTTGTTAAGATTTTCTCCTACTAAATCTGTTGTTGTTGTCTTTAGAATACAATGTTTTTACAGACATATTACCCATGGATAGAATGTACTTTTTTTTGTACCAGGCTTTGATCATTTTTTGCTGTATGTGAAAGTTTTGGTTTTGAATAATGGAGTTTTATGAAACTTAAAAAAATTTTTTTAATGTTTATTCATTTTAAGAGAGATTGGGGAGGGAAGAGCAGGGGAGGGGCAGAGAAGAGAAGGGGACAGAGGATCTCAAGAAGGCTCCACGCCGGGTATCAGAGAGCCCAGTGTGGGGCTTGAACCACAAACGTGGTGAGATCATGACCTGAGACGGAAGTCCAACGCTAACCTACTGAACCACCCAGGCTTCCTTATGCTCTTTTCTTAAATTAATTAATTTTTTAAGTGGGCTCTGTATCCAACATGGAGGAACTTCAACTCAAGACCCAAGATAAGAGTCACATGTGCTAATAATCGAGCCACCTAGACACCTCGGGACTTTTTATGAGACTTGTAATCTTGCTTTGGATTTAGTGTGAATAAGGGCAAGGGTGGAGAAAATAATAATGAATTTGCTCCAGTTCGCTCCTGACATTTTGAAAATATGAGATGATCAATAAACTGTTCTCTTTTCCCTTTAGAATTTGACCCTTAGTTCTATTCCCTTAGAATATTAAGCTGCCATTCATTAATGAATTTTAGTCGAAATAGTTACCTGAAATGTATCTATACAGGATCTGGGCCAGAGCTGTATAGCTTTTTTACAGGCTTTCATTCATCATGTCTATCATAAAGATCACTGTGCTGGAGCAAGGAGTACAAGAGAGTAAGACACTGCGGAAATTGGGGGGGAGGTGTATTAGTTATTTGCCGTCGTAACAAATACCCCAAAACTTAGAGGTTTAAAACAGCACACACTGGGGCTGCTCTGGGTGGCCTACAGTCGGTTAAGCCGCCTGACTTCAGCTCAGGTCACCATCTCGCAGAAAACCGTGAGTTCAAGCTCCCGCGCGTCAGGCCTCATGATGGCTCAGAGCCTGGAGCCTGCTTCCTGATTCTGTGTCTCCCCTCTCTCTGAATTGCTCATGTTTGTCTCTCTCTTGTCTCAAAAATAAAACAAATAAAAAAAAAATTAAAAAAAATTAAAACAGCACACACTTACTAACTCTAATGCTTTTCTGTGGGTCAGAATTCAGGCAGGCTTAGTTGTCCTCAGCCTCCAGAGCCTCCCCAGTCTCTCATCTCAGTGGGTCATTTGGGTGAGATTTGCTTCCAAGCTCATTCAGGAGCTATAAGATTCAGTTCCTCCAGAACTAGACTTGGGGCCTCAGTCCTTGCTGCTGCCTGTTACCGTATACAATGCTCTTTGCCATGTGGGAACCTCTCCCAGTATAGCAGTCGCCAGCAAGAGAGTTTTGTGGACGCCTTTGTTGTTTTTAAATTTTTTCTTTAAAACTGCACACAGTAAAACGTTCCATTACTTTTAACATATTCTGTTGGTTAGGGGGCTAAGTTACTTAGTGGTCCAGCCCATACTCAAGGGGGAAGGGTTGCACATGGATGTATCACCAGGAGGCTCTGGATTATTAGGGTTGTCTTAGGTGTCTTTCTACCATGGATATTAAATACCCAGTTATTGAATTTCAACTAAAAGAGGAAAGTAGCGCTTCCCTGACAATGTACAAATAAGGCAACCACGAGTTAAAGAAGTCCCTCATTAAGAAGTGGTTTGAGCTGACTGTTCAAGATGACTTCACTAGATGAAGAAAAGAGTGGGAGAAATGACCATTTTAAAGTCTCTGAGGCAGGACAGCACCTGGAGGAGCCTAACAAGATTTTGGTAGGGGCCAGGTCCTCTATAGGTTCATAGGTTTATTCCTAAGAGCTGTCCCAATTCACCAAAATGTGTGTGACTTAGGGACTTAGTCATTAAATATCTAATGGATCACCTTCAAATGGAGTTTGGCATTCTGCCAAAGGATGGCATGGTTCCAGCTATGACCAATTTATCTATGAGTAAATTGAGAGGTAATACCCAATAATATGAAACAATCAATAAGCAAACTCCAAGATAAAAAACAATTACTGGGGGTGAATAATAACATTGAGGAAGTGTGAAGTTGTGTGCTACAAACATTAATGGCATGCAATTAGCCAATTGTTTAGACAGTGTGTCTATTCTGAGCCCTCTTGGCATTTAAATCAGGGATTCATGCAGAATTTTTTCTTTTAAAGTTCAGTTTATTAGTTCTTTGGAGTCATGGGGATTCACATAGATTAATATGAACATTACTTCTATGATCAGTCATATATCATAATTTTTTCTAGTCTAATTTTTAAATTTAAAATGGAAAAACAATGATGAAATTATTTGAATTTACAAATGCATTATCAAGTTAATAAATATATGCTTAAGGTTGTGTTCAGGACGTTGAAGCAAATGAAGTTTCCTGGGGGCTCCAGTGATAGGGGCCTGGGTGGCGAGTCGGTTGCCGTCCGAATTTCAGCCAGGTCATGACCAAGGGACCGGGAGTTCGAGTTCCGCTGTCAAGTTCTCATTGATGCTGTCCAGAGCCTGGAGCCTGTTTCATTTGTGTCTCCCTTCTGCCTCCCCTCGTTTCATGTTTTCATTCTCTTGTCCCAAAATAATAAACGCTAAAAAAAAATTTAAAAAAAAAATCTTAAGGAGGATAAAAAAATGTGGGCAGAGTAAATAGTACAAAGCTACTGGGATGTATCAGACCTGAGATGTATAGGAATTTTAACAATAATTCAGAAGGAAGGGGAGATTATGGCAGCAGAGAGAGCTTACTCCCAGGAAGTTTTTTTTTTTTTTAAGTTTATTTATTTTTGAGAGAGAGAGAAAGAGTAGGGAGAAACAGAGACAGGGAGAGAGAGATCTCAAGCAGGCTCCTAAGTTGTCAAAGCACAGAGAGCCTTAGATCTAGTCAGTTTCACAAACTGTGAGATCGTTGACCTGAGCCAGAATCAAGAGCTGACCAACCAACTGAGCTACTCAGGCACCCTAAGTTTGTGTGCCACTTTCTAAAAAGAAGATGTGATTTGGGGCTTTAAGAATGGTTTTGTTGGGATAGAAGGAAGAATTTGTTCAGAAAGGGCAGGAGAGACAATCAGCTTGCAGAGAGGAGTGAGTAGATCTTAATAATTTCAGTGCTAGATTGATAAGTGCCAGTTTTTGGCATCAAACTTGTAGCCTCAATTACCAACATGCCTCATCTTTCTTTCCCTTCTCAGTGAAGCTTGTTGGCACCTCACAGAAGCTCTTACACCTGTCAGTGAAATAGAACTTGAAGATGTGCTGGAAAAGATCATTGATGCAGTTGAAAAGCAACCTGTGTTTTCACAGCTCTTAAACTACTTTCTTTTTTTTTTTTTTGCCAATCTTTTTATTTAATTTCCTCTTGGGATACAGAGAGAGACAGCATGAATGGGGAGGGAGAGAGAGAGGGAGCACATGAATCGAAACAGGCTCAGGGTCTGCTCATCAGCCTCAGAGCCTGACGCGGGCTCAACTCACGGGATCATGAGATTGGTGTGACCTGGCTTGGAAGTCGACGCTTAACCGACTGGCGCCACCCAGGCTTACTCTCTTCAAATCATTTCTAGAGTTCTATGTCCTCAGTTGATTTATGGATTTAAGTGGAAGCTGAAGATTCCCTGCTAAAATTTTCTTCTCCTGGGCGTTATGAGACACATGCATGGTAGGTAGCACTTTTTCCCCAAGGGGTAACCTCTAGTTCTGTTGGAACTCAGAGACATTTCCCCAGGCTGTTAAAAATTCTTCCCACTAATGAGGTCATCGCTAGCTTTCCAGCACTTGCACTCCTGGATAGTCTTTTAGTGGTCACTTTTGTCTCTCTGTGTGCTTTCTACTTTGTCTTACTTAGATTCAGTACTCAAAAGTTTGGGAAACAAAGAGTTGAAGCTGAAGTCGGACGCTAACCAACTGAGCTCACCCAGGCACCCATTCCCTTTTTAAGATACGAAAGCATATAAACAAATAATCTTATCCAGAGCATATGACATCTAATCTAATAAATAATGCTTGTAAAGTCCTGAGCATAGTTTTACTAAGGGCTTAATAAGTAGTTGCTACAATGTTTGGAATGGTTAAGCCGTCCGACTTCAGCCAGGTCACTGTCTCGCTGTCCCAGTGAGTTCTTTGAGCTCCCGCTGGCTCTGAAGGATGGCTCAGAGAGCCCGGAGCCTGCTTCCGATTCTGTGTCTCCCTCTCTCTGCCCCTCCCTGCTCACATGCTCCTGCCTGCTAGTCTCTCTCATGTCCCTAAAATAAATAAACGTTGAAAAAAAAAAAAATTTTAAAAATAAGTAGTTGTTGCTGAAAGCTACTATCATGCCTATGGAAACATAGCACTGTGATAGATTATACTAATGTAACCTTCTTAATCCTAGAGTTTACAGAAGTGTTTGCATAACTGGAATTAGTTATTAAACAGTATTTGTAGTGCAAGGCATTTGACTTGTATTATGATACTACAAGTGTCTTGGGTGTAGAAGATTAAGTAGTTTTGAGATACTGCTTGTTATTGTTCTGACCTAACCCTTTTTTTGTCATAAGAACTAGGTAATGAGAATCTCTAGGTTGGTGTTTGCAGATTATTTTTAAGAAAAAAAGCTAACTGTGGTAATTTTTTGTCTGTTTCAAAATTTGACTTTAAATTCTTCTTTTTTTCAGTGTCATCAAACATGATTGAACGACTGTAGTGGAAGCAGTAGTCCAGGAATGCAGTCAGTCTGTAGATGAAACTATGTATGTGGGATAAAATGAACTTTCCCCTGCTGAGTGATGCCATGAATCTTGTTTTAAATTATTTTCTTGAGGAAATAATTATCAGCATTTGTACAGTGTGGTTAGTTTCTTGGTATTTTTTTAACTGATAGTTTGTATTATAAAACTCCCCATTAAAATGACCTTGTCTTTTACTATTTTTTCCTTAAGATTTGAGATTAGAGTCTGTTATATATTACCAACTTTTGCCACTACCCATCTGATCTGACTTTATATTCTACATGCTACCCTGGATTGAATTGAATATTTAGACATATACTTGCTTTTGCTCTTAGAAAGTGCTGCATCCAGAAGAGTTCAGCTGCATCATGTTGTCACATGGTGAATAGCAAAGAGGGTGAACCTTAGCTCCTTGCCACTACTGCTATTAGAGCTGATAGTTCATATGGCAGTAATTTTTTCTTGCTTCTATTTCCACACCATCTTTTCCTTTCCTCTTTGATGTTTATTGAGAGAGAAGGAGAGGAGAGTGGGGGAGGGGAAGAGAGATGGGACAGAGTTCCTGAAGGCTCTGTGCTGACAGTAGAGAGTCCAATGAGGGCCTTTAACTCACTAACTTCAAGCACTCACAACCAGAGCCAAAGTCAGTCGCTTAACTGACTGAACCACCTAACGAAGTCTGCCCTCCCTTCCTCTTTTGAATATGACTTCTTTCTAGATTCAATAGGGTTTAACTGGGAGGAAACAACTGGGGAAATGATGAGAATAACTTTAACAGTTTTTCCCTCTTTGGGCAATGGAGATCATTGAAAGTCAAGCATCGTAGTAGAGCTGCTACAACAAAGAAACCGGAATTTTAATTTTAACTTGCAAACTCATTATTTAAGATACCAGGCACAGCCATCAACAGAACCAAAATGACTGTATGCAAGTGTAAGATTATAATCATAAAATAAGCAGTCTGAAAGAACGGGTTGTTTCTGTCTAGCCTTTATATGCCAAGTACAGTTAGCCAATGTGGAGGTCCAGTGGGACTAAAAGGTAAACGCCTTTGCAATTTCAGTTGTCAGAAAGTTACTGACCATCAGCAGAAGAGAGGTCACTTTATAGAAGAGGTGGCGTGACAAGCCAGTAACCTGTCAAAGATCGACCTGCTAGAAACAGCAGCACTGTACCTGGAATCTAGGTTTTCTTCATCGCCACCCGCTCTAGGCTGCTCACGCCAGGTACCGCCACCAATGCAGCAAGAACGTTTTTGACCATATTCAATCTGGTGATTAACATAAAATTTTAGGGAAGGTTTTAGGTTGGACTGTACTTCTACAATAGTGTTACATACAAGAAACCTCTTCACGCCAGGTTATGTTATTAACATTTGAAGCTATTTGTTGAATCTCCTCTCAACATCAGGCCAACAATATGCCAGTATTTGGGGGGGAACCTCCAACTCAACTGTCTGATTGAACCGATCCTGGGAAAAGATAATAAAGAGATAAGAGAGAGGTGTGTGTGTGGTGCGGTGAGGTGTGGTGGTGTGTGTGTGTGTGTGTGCAGGCGTGTGTGTGTGTGTGTGGTGTGCAGTGTGTGTGTGAGGGTGTGTGTGTGTGTGTGTGTGTGTGTGTGTGTATGTGTGTGTGTGTGTGTGTGGTATGTGCGGGAGGTGTGGCAGGTGTGTGTGTGTGTGTGCAGGTGGCAGGCAGGTGGTGTGTGTGTGAGGTAGGGGGGAGGTGTGTGGTGTGGTGGTGCAGGTGTGTGTGGGAAGGCTACCCAGCAACACAAAGGCAAAAAAAGGACAAAAGCAAAACAAACAACCATCCCAACCACAGGCAGAAGGCATACAGGTGGTACGCCATACGCCTGCCGCCTGTGCCTTGTACTCTTCTTAGAGCACAGATATAATACTTATTAGAAATTGTTGAAATGATATTTTGAGAATTATAAAAGTAGGTAACCCATGGGAGAGGAGATCTTTAAGACATAACTATTTTTTATATGTGTGAGAATGTTCTTTTTTCAAATAGATGATATTCTATTTTATGTTAATCTGATTAGTTATTACAGCAACAACGTGGATGGAACTGAGGAGAGGCAGGAATTAATAAAGAAAGATAATGACTTTACGAGAGTATGTTGATTGTACATATAAAATAGAACATGAGGGAAGGAAGCAAAAATAATGTGTGTACAGAGGAGGGGGACAAACATAAGAGACGCTTAAATATAGAGAACAAACTGAGGGTTGCTGGAGGGGCTGTAGGTGGGGGTGGCTAAATGGGTAAGGGGCACTCAAGGAAGACACTTGTTGGGATGAGCACTGGAAAGCGAGTACATAGGGATGAATCACTGGATTCTACTCCCTGAAATCATTATTTACCATATATGCCAACTAACTTGTATGTAAATTAAAAAATAAAAATGTTTTGTGAAAAAGAACGAAGCAAAAGAAAGAGATTTGGAAATCAAAGAAAACTAAAAAAAAAAAAGAAAGAAAGAAAAGAAGTTAACTTGATTAGGGGCGCCTGGATAGGTCAGTTGGTTCAGCATTCTGACTCTAGATTTTGGCTCAGGTCATGGTCCTGGGGTTGTGGAATTGAGCCCGAGTGGGGCTCTGCACTAAGCTTGGAGCCTGCTTAAGATTCATATTCTCTTTTTTTCTCTCTCTCTCTCTCACTCACTGTCCCCCTCTCCCCCACTCTGCCTCTGTATCCCTCCCCCACTTGTGTGTGCTCTTGTGCTCTCTCTCAAAATTAAAAAAAAAGTTAGCTTGATTTTTTTTTTGAGAGTATTGGCAAGGCTTTCTTGTCTCTGAAAGGGAAATTTTACCCCCATATTATGACACTATAAGAAATTGTGGGGGTGCCTGGGTGTCTCAGTTGGTTGGGCATCCAGCTCTTGGTGCCAGCTCAGGTCATGATCTCATAGTTCGTGGGATCGAGCCCCATGTCGGGCTCTGCACTGACACTGTGGAGCCTGCTTGGGATTCTCTCTCTCCCTCTCTCTCTCTGCTCCTCTCTCACTCGCTTTCTCTCTCAAACTTAATAAATAAACTTAAAAAAAAAAAAGAAATTGTGTATATGACCTGTGGAAAGTATATTTAATTTATATGCCATAAGATTGTAATACAAGTTTTTGTGCTCACCTAGAATTCGTATGTGTTAGTAAATCAGATCTGTGTTTTTGTGGGATGTTTTTCAGGGAACATATTTTCAATATCATAGGAGCATTTGATATTCCACGCTTTGTATACAGTTCAGAAAGAAAAAAATTTCTTCCGTAAGTATATTGATTTTAAGCTAATTTTTCAGATGGACATTTCTTTCAGAAGGCATACAGCCCATGATTCATTTTTGGCCTACCTTTGTGTACTGTGATAGTTATAAATAAGCATTCCTTTTTTTTTCTAGTCTATTAATGACCAACCACCCTGCACCAAATTTATTTGGAACAGCAAGAGATAAAGCAGAGCTGTTTCGTGAACGATATACTATTTTGCACCAGGTAAGCTGAGGGTAGAAAATGAGACTGTTTAAGATTAGGTAACACTCAGAGTTAATTTAAAGGATGGAATTTTGTGGTCCAAAGCTTGTTCAATAGACTATTATTGGCCTGTGTTTGAGACCAGATGGAGGATACAATTAACAATTAACAACTGTGATGATAAAAATAGCTAACATTTCTTACCGGTTTTTAACATGCTGAGCACTGTGTCCAGTATGTTACACACCTTACTTACCTCATTTAATCATCACAACATCAGTGTAGGTATAAAAGCTATTATCCTCATTTTACAGATGAGGAAACTGATACCTAGATAAATTTAGGAAATTTACCAAAGATCACATATAGTAAGTACAGACAGGATTTGAACCCAGTTCGTCTGACTCTGGAGTCCGGCCTTTACCTAATACACTATGCTAGCTTTGTGCAGTTTACAGTCTATGAAGTTAAAGACATTTGCACAAACAAGATATAAAGTAGAGTTTTATGTGCTGTGAAAGAGACATAAACAGAATGTATTCATTGGGAAAATCAGGGCCTTGGTTGCTTTGATCTTGTGAAATGGGGAAAAGGTAGTGGTAACAGTGTGAACAAAGACACAGCAAAGGGAAAGAGTGAACCCTGCAGGAAATGATAAGCAGTGGGTCCATTTTTGTGTGTAGAGGAAGGCTCGTGAAGAAGAGTAGCATGGGATTGGTTTGGAAAGGCAAGCGGGAGCCAGGTGGTCAGAGTGCTGTGGATGCCACTCTTGGCGTTTGGGACTCTGTTTTCTTGGTACAAGGAGCCTTGGAATACCAGAGAGACTCCATCACAGCTGGGTTTTTTGAGCCCTTCTCTACCAGCAGATTTGGGGATGGGTTAAAAATATGAGAGAAGGGGCGCCTGGGTGGCTCAGTCGGTTAAGCATCCGACTTCAGCTCGGGTCATGATCTCCCAGTTCGTGAGTTTGAGCCGTGTGTCAGGCTCTGTGCTGACAGCTCAGAACCTGGAGCCTGCTTCACATCCTGTGTTTCCTTCTCTCTCTCTGCCCCTCCCTTGCTCATGCTCTGTCTCTCTCTCAAAAAGAAATAAACATTAAAAATGAAACAACAACAAAGAATGGAAGAGAAGCCTTAGAGGAGTCTGTTATTAGTCCTGCCATAAATGATAGCTGGGGGGAAGGAAGTGGCAACGGTTGTAGACAGGGGACCGCACTGGACCAGTGGAAGCCATCATTCATGGTGACAGAGTGGATGTGAAGGGGAAGGCAGAGAGTAAAGACTCAGAGATGATTAAGGTTTTGAGTCAGAGAGTAGGACAGTAGAATAACATGGTAACAAATAAGAAAAAGGGAATGTTTGGGGAAGATGATTCAGATGACACAGGTACTGTCTTAAACATTTTTGAATTAAGGTTGTCAGTGGGAAATCAGGTGAAAAGTACATATAGAGCTAAAGAAAGAGGTGTGGGAAGACAGATTTAGGGGGCATCTGCCCAGAGGAGTGGATGGAACTGCAGGGATGGGTGAGACCCTATGGGGCGGTGGGGAGAGAAGGGAAGAAAGGAGAATGTGGGGGCCAGGCCAGGGTGGTGGTATACGGGAGAAGGTTTTAAGGACAGGATGGTCAGTGCGAGTGTGCTCTGAAAAAGGATGAAGAGAGTGAACCCTGAGGATGCCTGTCCTCTCCTTCCATCACCTGCATAATGTTGCCAGATCAGTCTTCCTTGATGTGTAGCTCTGATATTGGTATGATTTTGCACAGTCTTTCAAGGAGGTTTACTGCCTATTGAATTGAATACAAACTATATATACTTAGTGTTTGAGATCTTCCATCGCACCTTTTTGGCCAAAATCTCTACTTTTCCTCTAATTGTACCATACTAGAGCCAAAAATGAAACATAACTATTGTTCATTTCTTCTCCTTCTTCTGTAACTTTGCTTTTATTCTTCACTCTCTGGGCTGCTCTTCCCTTCCCACTTTTCTCTGCTATTGAAACCCTCCTAACCTTCTCAAATTCCTCCTCTTTTCTGAAACTCTTCTTGATGAGTTGGATGCAATCTCCTTCTGCCTTAAAGCACTGACTATGTCAGTCTGTCTTGTGCATCATTTACTGGAGTTGGCCCTGCCTTGCCTTCGGGGTGCTTATCCCCGTTATGAGATGCTCCTTGTGTATTTCCCCTGCCACACTTGCTTGGCACAATGCTGTTCACAGAGAAGATGCCCAAGTAAATACCACATTTCTTTTTTCTTTCTTTTTAAAAATTAGATTTTAAAGCCTATCATATTATTTTGGGTGTGTCACGTAACCCTTCTGAGCCTCATTTTTTCTTATCTGTGAAATGAAAGCGTTGCATTTTCGTCCATTCACATTTTATCACAGTTATCTTCCTATAAGCAAATCTGATGTTATTTTTATCCTATTTCAATATCTTTGTTTTCTATTGTCTACCAGATAAATTTCCTGACTTAGCATGTAAAGTCGGTATCGTCAGGGCTCTTTTATTGGAGGTTACAGAAATTCAAACTGACTAAAACAGAAAGAGGCATTTATTGACTTGTGGAGAGGTCTGGAGGTCCACCAGTTTCAAGCATGGCTGGATCCAGGATATCCCACGTCTTGAGGCATCTACCTGTCTCCATCTTGGCAATTTTATAAAAATTGATTTTACTTTCAAACAGGTTCTCCCTACGAGATGACAGAGGCCCCTAGTAGCCTCAGCTGCACTTGGAGAAAGTTCCTCTCTTCTGGTAGTTCTAGCAAAGGTCTCTTAGTGGCTCTTAGCTTGAGCCTGGACCATTCACTGGCCAAGAGGTGGGGTACTTATTCACTAGGCCTATTTATAGAAGGGGGAAGAGACACCAGCCTTGCCTAAACCACATGGACCACAGTGGGGCAGGGGATATGGTTCCCCAAATAGAGGCTCCAGCTAATCTCTTGCCCTGTCTGACATTCTGCTTTGTGTACCTCAGATTCCAACTATACTACACTTTGCGTCACTTCCCAAACACTCCTTTACTCTTGTAAGTCTTTCTTGTGACACATCCCGTCCTCTGCCTGAAATGTCTTGTCTCAGCCTCATATGGTTTCTCACTAGCAAAGTCTTATTTATCACTTAGGATCTCGTTAAATGCCCCCTTTTGCCTGGGGTCCTTCGTAGTAGGGTGGCCCTCTACTTTCCTGTCTCACAAACCCCTGTGCTTTGAGGGTGACCCTTGGTTTGTTGTCTTCATACATACTTCATGACACTCAGTCCAGAGTGTGCTGCTGGCAGCTATACGATAGAGCTTTTTCTTTCTTTCTTTATTTTTTTATTTAAAAAAAAAATTTTTTTTTCAACGTTTATTTATTTTTGGGATAGAGAGAGACAGAGCATGAACGGGGGAGGGGCAGAGAGAGAGGGAGACACAGAATGGGAAACAGGCTCCAGGCTCTGAGCCATCAGCCCAGAGCCTGACGCGGGGCTCGAACTCACGGACCTGGCTGAAGTCGGACGCTTAACCGACTGCGCCACCCAGGCGCCCCGAGCTTTTTCTTTAAAAAAAGTTCTTTGAAATAATTTTTTTATTTTCCAAATTACACTTCTGGGTATTTGTATATTAAAACATGTGGGCTTTCAAATTTATTGAGAATAGGCAATATTAACATTCATTTAAGGACAAGATTTTGTCAGAGTACTGTTTTAATGAATTTTAGTTTAAAATGTCTGATTCAGTAATTCATGTGAATCTGTCTTTTTTATAGAGGACACACAGACATGAATTATTTACTCCTCCAGTGATAGGTTCTCATCCTGATGAAACCGGAAGCAAATTCCAGGTTAGTTATTTAGGAGGCGTAAGTGTACAAGTTAAATATTTATTGCTTAATTCTTACTTATTGAAATTTAAATGAGAATGGACCGCTGGTAACTGTTTAGCTAGCTAATTGACCTGTGCATTCTCACTGTTGAGAAAGACCATTGTCTGTGTCCTGGGCCCTGCAAATCTCTAATAGAAGCTACCACTTCCTTCTTTGGGACAGGCCCTGAGACACCTGGCTGGCTTGGTCAGTTAAGTGTTCGACTCTTGATCTCAGCTCAGGTCTTGATCTCAGGGTCATGAGTTCAGGCCCTGCATTGGGCTCTGCACTGGGTATGAAGCTTACTTAAAAAAAAAAAAAGCAGCAGGGAAGGAAGGCCCTGAGACTACGGTAGCCCCCAGACCATCACTGGCCACCAACACAGATCCCTGGTCCTTCTGGTCCATTTGCTGGATACGACACTGGCTTTCTGACCAACTCTCAACATTACCCTTCCTGCTCTCACTCAAACTCCAAAATCCTGGTCCTTGTCTAGCCCACACACTTACTCATCTAAAATGTGCTTTGTCCGTTGGAGTAAAAAGTTTACTTAAGGCACTAAGGAAATAACATTTATAGGATAAATGAGACAGCACAGACAGGCCACAGGGTTGCTGGGGCCTGAGGAAGAGGTGGGAGGGAGACTGTTTTCTGTCACATGGGCTCCTTCCACTTTTGTACTCCTATGCCCTTTGTTTACTTGTTCTAGCCACACACCTAGTCACTGTCAGCCCGGCTGTGGCTTTATTCCTCTCTTAGCACACAGAGTCCTGCCGGGAGACAGTCCTTTGCTACTTCTAGGCCCTGCCAGTTCTCTGAGGTTCCGTATAGATTCTGAAGAGGCCCAGCCTCTTTTAAGGTTCATTACATTCTCTGCCATGACAGATCAGAAGTCATGATGAGTAGTCTGATACTAAAATATAATACTACACAATGCACAAATTAAGGTTTGATGGTAGCAACATAGGAGAAAACATTTATAGTGTTTGACAGTTTCTGCTTTTAACTTTTATGAGAGAAAAAATTATATTCACTTTTGGAAATTGACATTACTTATATTTCCCTACCAAAGACCATCTATATGTTTTCTTATATATATTAGGTTTCCTGTGGCAACTTAGTTGCCCACAGCCCAGAAGCATTATTTCTCCTCTCCTTTTTCCCAAACTAACTTTAAGACTTAGCTAAATTATTTGGGAGACCTGGGTGGCTCAGTTGGTTAAGTGTCTGACTTTGGCTCAGGTCATGATCTCACAGTTCGTGAGTTTGAGCCCTGCATCGGGCTCTGTCCTGATAGCTTACAGCCTGGAGCCTGCTTCAGATTCTGTGTCCCCCTTTCTCTCTGCCCCTCCCTCACTCACACTCTGTCTCTCTCTCTCTCAAAAATAAATAGACATTAAAAAAAATGTTATGGGTTAATGTGATTATATCTGACTTTATTTTTCCTTCTCTATATTTTTAAAATTTTTGAGTAGTAAACAGGCAGTATTTGTAATAAAAAAAATTTTACAGACAAAAAGAAGCTTCACTTGGTAATTCCTATAAGAATGAAACATTATACACCCTTTCATTCAGCAATTCTGTTTCTGGAATTTGTAGAAGTATGTGCAACAGTTATACCCATGCACTAGGCCAAGAGAGGTGCAAGAAACATTAAGCACTGTTTTTACCAACAGAAAACTGAGCACCTTATGTGTCCTTTAATAGGAACTTGGTAACATAAGTTTTTGTATATGTACTGTACATATCTATATCCATTAAAAAGAATGAAGTATATCTATGCATAGTTAAATAAAACGATTTCTAAGAGATATTAAATTTAAAAAGTTAAGTTGTATAATATTAGTAATAATATGGTTTAATCTTTGCAAATAAAACAAAAACTGTATGTGTTTAGAAATGGTATATGTATTAACATATATGTAAGATTGTGTATAGAAAAGCATCAGAAAGGATTTTTTAAAATGGTGCCCCAATTGTTACTAACTTTAACTTAAAGATAAAAATATAATGGTCAGATTGAGGATGTAAATAAATAATAATGACAACCTTTTGAAATGCTAGTATAACTTTTTAAATAGCCTACTAATTTGCAAGATGTATTGACCAAATAAATAAAATTTATATTCTTTTCTATATTTTAAAGGTAAATGTACTTATCATTATTCAGAATACAGTAGTCCCTCTTTATCCAAGGGTGATATGTTCCAAGACCCCCAGTGGATGCTTCAAAGCACAGATAGTACCAAAACCTGTATATACTATGTTTTTTCCTCTACGTACATACCTGTGATAAAGCTTAATTTATAAATTAGGCACAGTGAGAGATTAACAACAATAATAATAAAATAAAACAATTATAACAATGTACTATAATAAAAGTTATGTGAATGTGGTCTCTCTGTCAAAATATCTTACTGTACTATACTCACCTTTCTTATGATGATGTGAGATGATAAAATGGCTACATGATGAGATGGGAGGTGAATGATGTAAACATGACATAGCTTTAGACTACTATTGACCTTCTGGTGATTCATCAGAAGGAAGACCATCTGCTTCCAGACCATGGTTGACAGAGGGTAACTGAAATTATGAAAAGCAAAACTGGATAAGGCGGGACCTCCTGTAATATGAGATGAGACTTCATTGCTAAGAGCCTGAGTTGGTATTTTAGCTTTTTATAGGATAAATTATATCTGAGTTTTATCTGATTTTCTACTCTAAAGTAGGTGAAAATACTGAAATGCACACTAAAAATTCACTTATTTATAAAAAGAGTAGTTTCTTCAAAGGACAAATTTTCAACCTTTAAGAATTTATTTTGTCTCATTTTAAGCTTAAAACGGTAGAAACCCTATTGGGCAGTACAACCAAAATTGGAGATGTGATTGTTCTTGGAATGATAACCCAGTTAAAAGAGGTAAGTTAAACTTAATAAGCATCAAACTGTTTTCAGCCTTTGGACTGATGAAATGTCAGTTCTGTATAGCATTTCTGCAGAGGGTACAGGGATGTATTCTTCATTGAAGGCTCCTGTCTCAGTTACCAAGTAGCCTTTGCATCTGCATTTGGTTTCCTGAGTAGACATCAGGGAGTGTCTTTGACAGGCCGCCAGTTTGCATAGCCTGAAATTAGTCCTCAGTGACCTCTGAGAGTACTGAGTTTCTAACAAGCAAGGCTGCAGACCACATCCTGCTCCCTCAGAGAAGGACACTGTTGGCTCTCTTAGGTGGAGGCACCTGGTGAGGCCCATACGGCCACCACCAAGCATCCCTCTTGCCGTCTCTTGATCTGCAGAGGTCATTCTCCATGTCCCTCTTAGGAGTCTCAGTCTCCATCAAGTGATTAATCTGAGGCTACCAGACTAGCAAATGGAAACACGTGGGCCAGGAATTGCTAGTTCTGAGAAATCTACTGTACTCTACTGTATTCTGTTGTCAAAGTTGTCAGTATTTTAATTATTTTGTCAGAGTATCCATTTTTACATAAATGTGGACATATTTCTTTTAACTTTTTTAGGGAAAATTTTTTCTGGAAGATCCTACGGGAACCGTACAACTGGATATTAGTAAAGCTATATCCTTTATATATTTTTTTAAATTATGTTATATGAGTTGGGGATATTGATTACACATCATTCTTAAGTTAACCTATTTGGTTTCCTATTGTAACTTACGTATGATGATGATGCAGGAATCGAGACATAATTCTAGCCAGAAACAAAAGAAACTGTAATTCTCCCTTATTTGGAGAATCCAAACAAGTCAGTGAGGAAGTTTATACCATGCTAAGAATGATCTATACTGACATTATTACCAAGCTACATCTTAGAATGGGGAAATTTAGGGGCGCCTGGGTGGCGCAGTCGGTTAAGCATCCGACTTTAGCCAGGTCACGATCTCGCGGTCCGTGAGTTCGAGCCCCACGTCAGGCTCTGGGCTGATGGCTCAGAGCCTGGAGCCTGTTTCCGATTCTGTGTCTCCCTCTCTCTATGCCCCTCCCCCGTTCATGTTCTGTCTCTCTCTGTCCCAAAAATAAATAAACGTTGAAAAAAAAAATTAAAAAAAAAAAAGAATGGGGAAATTTAAACCTAAAATGTTTTAAGCTATGATCTACTCACAGTTTCAAATGTGAAGTCTTTGAATTTATTAGTCAGAAGTCCTTTGAGCCCAGAATTTATGTTGACTTTATCACCACCTCAAGCATAGAAGTAGAATTATTTTCCTCAACTGCTGTATACCAGTTCCATAGTGGTTTATACACAGAGTCATGCTTTGTCTTAGCAGAAGGTAAGTCAGTATACCTTTTGCTGTCCTCCTCAACGTTCTATGGTAAAACCATCTCTACATTGGTTAAAATGTATTAACATGATATCATTTGGGAGAACATTGTTTATAAGAGCATACTTTTGACAACATTAAAAAACTCAGACTGGTGATGGGCCTGGGGTTTCTTTTTGGGGTGATAAAAATATTCTGAAATTAGTGGTGATGGTTATACAACTTGCGAATATACTAAAAACCACTGAATTGTATACCTTAAAGGGTGAAGTGTAAGGATATGTGAATGATGTCTTAATAAAATTGAAAAAAAACCCAAACAAACCAGATTTTACTTAGGGTCATAAAGTGAGACATTTCCTAATCTTTGTACCTCATGTCTCCGTACTCTAACATGTATTGTGAAATTAAAAAGTGAAAAGTTTTACTTTTGAGTCTGTTTCTATTTCATGACTTTTTAAAAATGTAGAACTGAGACTACCTTTGGATCTGTAGCTAGGTGGGACTGGCAACCTCTGTAGTTAGTTGACAGAAGATGAGACAGCAACTTAGCATTACTGCTTTGTCTTCCATAACTTTCTTCCTTTCAGACAAGAAGAATTGGACAAATGAAAGTGACTTGTTACTTATCTTTTTTCAGGCTGGTTTGAAGATCAGGTGTTTCATGTCAATGCCTTCGGATTTCCACCCACTGAACCCTCTAGTACTACTAGGTATAAAATGTTTGGCTGAAGCCCTACAGGAATTTCATAATACTGGCAGTAGTGGTTTTAAGAGTGTGTATCATTTGTCGGTTACTCAGGCTTTGTGTCAGAATGCAAAGAGTAATAGAAAGAGTTGGAAGACTGGGTTATATGTGCATCTGAAAACTAGCACGTTGATTCCTGGTTAGTTGTATTCGTATCTCCCTACCTTGGCTTTTATGAGCACATGTTCCAGTCTTCCTGTCTCGCTTATCTATGGGGTTGATTAGAAGTTCATCTGAGGTAAAAGATAGGAAAACACTTAGAAGAATATAATTTTCATGTTAATATAAAGCCTTATTTTTCTACTAATGATTAAAAGTTACAAGAGGCAGGGGCACCTGGGTGGTTCAGTCAACTAAGTGGCTGATTTCAGCTCAGATTATGGTCTCGCAGTTTTGGGTTCGAGCCCCATGTTGGGTTCTGCTGACAGCTCAGAGCCTGGAGCCTGCTTCAGATTCTGTGTCTCCCTCTCTCTCTGCCCCTCCCCCGCTCATACTCTGTCTCTCTGTCTCTCTCAAAAATAAATAAACATAAAAAAAAAAGGTTACAAGAGGCAGATGAAAAAGCTCTTTAATGTAAGCAAAAGCATCATAATGTTAGAGCCATTCCAAAAGGACCTTCTCTGAGAAGAGAGAGTTCCCTGTCACTCGGGGTTTTGTTTTTTGTTTTTTTTAATTTTTTTTTAATGTTTATTTATTTTTGAAGGAAAGCGGGACAGAGTGTGAGCAGGGGAGTGGCAGAGAGAGAGGGAGACACAGAATCCAAAGTGGGCTCCAGGCTCTTAGCTGTCAGTACAGAACCTGATACGGGGCTCAAACTCACGAGCTGTGAGATCATGGCCTGAGCTGAAGTCGGATGCTTAACTGACTTGAGCCACTCAGGCACCCCTGTCACTCAGGTTTTTGAGCAGAGGCTAAATGATGGTGTAAAAGTTGTAGCTGGTGGCCTGTGGGTTGAATGTAGTCTGAAGAGCTTTCTTTCTTTTTTTCCCCTTTGAGGTATTCCCCTTTGAGGTATCTTTTGTTTCCGTTGTTTAAAAATTAAGAGATTTCTCATAAAAGTCTAGATTTCTGAGTCGTCTTGAACAACCAGATCTGGCAACATGGTCCCTGAATTCTCCCCCAGCTATCACTCTACTGCAGTGATGGCACTTTGGGCAGGACATGTCAGTGCACCCTAGCTCATACCTAGGAGGCCTCAGCTGGTTGCTGCTTCCTTATTCAGTGTTCCCTTCCTGAAGCCTGTGAACATTTGAGTATGCCACCTTTGGGGGAATTAAAGTTGCCTCCTAATCTTGAGATTCTGTCTGTGGTTAAAGTGATTTCAAGAAGTGTAAGAATTAAGATTCTAGTCCTAGTATACCTGTACAAAATCAAGGTATACAGGCCACGTTTGCTGGCTGGAAGTTACTGTCAGGGCAACTTCTCTTCCTGTTGAGGTAACCTAGGGGAAAGTGCCGTTCATGCAAACGAGGACACAAGCCCTCATCAAACCAACTCACTTTTAAGTGAATGCATTTAGTGCCAGTTTGTGGCTTTTTACAACATGGTAGGTTTTCTTTGGGATATACTTAGAGCAAAATTTCTGTCGCTTTTGACGTTTTATTTCCATACAGGCGTCAAAACTACTACTTTGGAATGAGAGGTATAATCAAAGCTGGCCGTCAGCAGTAACCCTTCGGTTTCAGCCTCATACAGAGCCTGCCAGGAAGTGGAGACGATAGGGGGCAGTGCAGAGTAGTGCACGAAGCTCTGGCCCTGGCTCTCAGACAGGGTCTGAAACTGAGCACTTGATCTGTTAACTGGGACGGGCCGCAGGCAAATCACTTAACCCTCCTGAACCTTGTTTTTTTCTCTTTTGTAAAATAAAGAAAATAAAATCTCCTCAAATGAGGTTTATTAAGGATTTAAGATTGTAATCTGAGATATGTTTATATATGTACATAATTTACTTAGGAACCACATCATCCATCCATCCATCCATCCATCCATCCATCCATCCAAGGAGAGAGTTTCTTTTTATGTGTGACTATGCATGTTTATATCCTTTTTTTTTTTTGACATTAATAATGGACACATACATTGCTTTGTAACATCCAAATTTTTATAATTCTGCCATGTATGTTAGTCTCTGTAGACCTCCTTAATCCCTTAGAACAAATTTCTAAACATGGAATTGTTCGGTTAAATGGTTAGTACTTATTTTGAGCACTTTTATTAGATATTGTTTAAATCAAATGTGCATTCCTCCTACTTTCAATTACGTAGGAAGTTTAATGTTTGCTTTAGTCGGTTTTAAAAGACACAGAAACAGCCTATTAAGTATTTATTCACTGCTTCTGTTTTTCTTATTTTAGGGCATTTAAATAAACTTATTTGCTTTTTAAGTGCTACAAGTAGTACATTTTCATGGCACTATTTACACTGATGGGAAAATAACCTCATTAGGTAGAAAGAAACTAAATTTGTAAAATTATTAGAAAAACATCTCCAAGGGGCGCCTGGGTGGCGCAGTCGGTTAAGCGTCCGACTTCAGCCAGGTCACGATCTCGCGGTCCGTGAGTTCGAGCCCCGCGTCGGGCTCTGGGCTGATGGCTCGGAGCCTGGAGCCTGTTTCCGATTCCGTGTCTCCCTCTCTCTCTGCCCCTCCCCTGCTCATGCTCTGTCTCTCTCTGTCCCCCCAAAAAAATAAATAAACGTTGAAAAAAAAAAATTAAAAAAAAAAAACAAAACATCTCCAACATGGGGCTGGCTCAGTCAGTAGAGCACCTGACTCTTGATCTCAAGGTTGTGGGTTTGAGCTCCATGCTGGGTGTAGAGATTACTTAAAATCTTTAAGAAAAAGAAAGAAAGAAAAACATCTCCAACAGAATATAGGATAGAAGCTAATAATTATGTCATAATTACCTAGGGCATACTATGGAAATATTAATTTTTTTGGAGGGCCTTCTAATACATCTGTGAAGACTTCTGCAAAACTAAAACAACTAGAAGAAGAGAATAAAGATGCCATGTTTGTGTTTATATCTGACGTTTGGTTAGACCAAGGAGAAGTGTTGGGAAAACTTCACACCATGTTTTCTGGTGGGTGCCGTTCTTTTCTACCCTTTTAAACTCGAACGAGGGTTCATGTCTTAAAACTAAATTGTTACAAATGTATCTTTTTGAGTAGTCTATTTTCCTGTAAATGTTGATTCAGCAGTGAGATATTTTAAATGAGCCATCTTAAAAAACTTAAATTTTTACATTTGAAAAATAATTGTGCATGCATATGTGTGTTCACGAGAGCTAAGAATTAGTCCTAAGTATAGCATAAGAATGGATAAGAGCTTGGGTTTGGAGTCTGACAGAACTGGGTTTATTTATTTATTTTTTAATGTTTATTTATTTATTTATTTTGAGGATGGGGGGTAGAGAATCCCAAGCAGGCTCCACGCTGTCAGTGCAGAGCCCAAGTCAGGGCTCTATCTCATGAACCTGGAGATCATAATCTGAGCTGAAACCAAGAATCATATGTTCAACTGATTGAGCCACTCAGAACTGGGTTTAAATTGCAGCCTGATACCTTGGGCAGGTTACTTAATCTCTCTCTCAGTTTATAGGGATGTTGTGAGAATCAAGCTATTACAGGGTCTGGCATATAGTAAGTGTTCAATAAATGGGCAGTATTGTTACTATTGTTTAAAAATACTGGTTATTAAAATAAGGTATTATTAAACTAGTAAGTTTTTGTTATTAAAAACTCATGGTTAGGGGCTCCTGGCTGGCTCAGTCAGTGGAGCATGTGACTCTTGATCTCAGGGTTTTGAGTTCAAGTCCCATGTTGGGCCCAAAGTTTACTTAGGAAACAAAACAAACAAAAGAAAAACCTCATGGTTAAAGGGTTTTTAATCTGATTTCTAGACTAGAAAAGTGATATTCATTTTATTCTCTTATTTTTAGGTTATTCACCAGCACCTCCAACCTGCTTTATTCTGTGTGGTAATTTTTCATCTGCACCATATGGAAAAAATCAAGTTCAAGCTTTGAAAGGTATTGAAGGTCTATTGAATAAATGTTTCTACATTTAGATAAATGGAATTGATAAGAAATGATCTATAATATTTTAATTTCATTTAAAAGATGTAGAGTTGTAGCTAAGCAAATATAATTTGACTTTTATGTGCATTAAATGCAAATTAAACTTAATGTCCCTTTAAAATTTTAGATTCCTTAAAAACTTTGGCAGACATAATATGTGAATATCCAAATATCCACCAAAGGTAATGATTTCTATTGCTATATTTTTAAAAGTTTTTTAAAAGACAAATAAAAAGTGAATTCTAAATTTTATATCCATGATTATTAAGAAATGAATGGAACAAAAGTTTGAGAAAATTAGTATGCTAAGAAAAAATTATCCTCACATCATGATAATGTATGTTATACTGTACTAGAGATTTATAGTGAAAATATTGAAAAGGAAAGAGTGATACTTTCAACTATATTTTTAATTTCTTGGTGACAGTACTTTATCTAGAGCTGTACTCTTCAATATGATGGTCACTAGCCACATGTGTCTCTTTAAATTTAAATTATTTAGAGGTTCCTGGGTGGCTCAGTCAGTTAAGTGTCCAGACTCTTGATTTCGGCTCAGGTCACGATCTCACCACTGCGAGATTGAGCCCTGTGGCTCTGCGCTGGGGTGGAGCCTACTTAAGTTTCTCTTTCCCTCTACCCCTCCCCCACTTTCTCTCTAGCACTCTCTCACTCTGTCTCTCAAAAAAAATTAAATTATTTAAAGTTAAATATAATTAAAAATTCACTCACAATAGCCACAGTTCAAGCAGTCAATAACTGGACAGTGCATATAGAAACATTTCCATCACTGCAGAAAGGTCTGCTGGACAGTGGTAGTCTGGAGACTTAGTTCATTTATGAAAATGCATTGAAATTTTAAAAATATTAAAAATTATTATTTAATTCAAGGCAGTAACTCGTCTTTAGACTACTGGATAGTGTTGCAATAATTTTTTTTTTTAATGAATTATATTGAATTTTGCTACAGTAGTCGTTTTGTGTTTGTTCCTGGTCCAGAGGATCCTGGATTTGGTTCCATCTTACCAAGGTAAGTTGTGTTTAGATTTTTCTAACAGTTAAAAATATTTTGTCAAATTTAAAAATATATCCTACACCACATAAATTGTTTCTATAGGCCACCACTTGCTGAAAGCATCACTGATGAATTCAGACAAAGAGTACCATTTTCAATTTTTACTACCAATCCTTGCAGGTAAATATTACCATTTTGTGTTATGCTTTTTTTCGTTTCATTTCAAAACTAACTTGCTTCTTAAACTTTGTCTCCGAACTTTGACTACTATGAGGTAAATATAAAGCGAAAATTTCTCTTTATTTTAGGTTTCTCAAAACTTTAGAAATATTTTATCACTGGGCACGTGGGTGGCTCAGTCAGTTGAGCTTCTGACTTTGGCTTAGGTCATGATCTCACGGTTTGTGGGTTCGAGCCCCACATCGGGCTCTCTGCTGTCAGGGACAAGCCTGCTCGGGATTCTCTCTGCTTTTCTCTCTCTGCCCCTCCCTGACTCATGCTTTCTCTCTCAAAATAAATAAATAAACTTAAAAAAAATAAAATTAAAAATATTTTATCACTATTGAATTCACTGATAATGAATTTAGAAGCTGAAAAACAGATGGAGATTTAAAAATCGATATTCTCATTACACATCCTTTAAGAAAAGCTACAATGGAAGAGGGAAACAGATTATGTGTTACTGCACATGCCACTTACTATAGTCAGAGGTTACAGTCCTTGGTTCTCTCTTTTCTGCCTGCATTCACTCCTTTGGTGACCTTAGCTACTCCCAAAGCTCTCAGTGCCATCTGTGTATTGACAACTCCCACATTTAACCTTTCTCCCAAACTCCAGACTTATGCATCCAGATGCCTGCTCATCATCCCCCGTGTATGTCTAGCAGACAATCTCACACTGAGCTTCTCATCTACTTCCCACCCGTCAGCTCCCAACCTGTTCTGTACCCTTCGTCATTAGAGTTCATGGCACCTTAGTCCTTCCAGTCACTCGGGCCAAAACTTTTTGGGTTTCTCTCACATGTAGTGTTTCAGGCAGTCCTTCAAAAATGTGAAGGAAGACCAAAATATATGCAGAATCTGGCCACCTGTCACCGCCTCTGTGACCTTCTACCATCTGCTCTAGCCTGGATTACTGTAATAGCCTCCTCGTTGGTCTCGAGCGTCTACCCCTGCCCCTCGGTAGTCTGTTCTTAACGCTGTGTTAGAGTGATCCTCTGACACATAAGCATGTCACCTCCGCCTTACTGATCCTGAAATTTGGGCGCTCCTCGTGCCATTCAGTAACAGCCCATATCCTTGCCGTGGTAGTCAGGGCCCAGCATGATCTGGCCTCCTATTCCTGCTCCTCTCTTCCTCATTTATTCCAGTCACCACAGCCTCCTTGCTGTTCCTCAGACATGCCAGCCATGCTCTGTCTCGGGGCCTCTGCTGTAGCCGCTCCCTCTGCCTGTCCTGTGTTCCTCCTTTGCCTGCAGTGTTCTTCCTCTGCATATCTGCTTGACTCTCTCACCTCCTTCACGTCTGTGCTCAAATCAGACTCCGTTATCAGCCCTACCTATTTTCATCATCCTGTTTAATCCTCCAGCCATCTAGCCCTTCTTACCTCACAAATGATCCCTGATAGCCTGTTTTTCTTTTTCCCATACACTTAGTCATCTCCCAACATCCCATATAATTATCATGTTTATTGATATTTTTTCTGACTGCCCTCCCTCCATTAGAATATAAACTGCATCAGGGCTGGGATCTTTTTGTTTTGTTCACTCATCCCTACGATAGTGCTGGACACATACGGAGAGCTCAGTAAATTACTATTGAATGAATGGAAGGATAGAGTCCAGCTGAATTTTTGCTGTGGTAAACGATGGGCAGTGGGAATAGCTTTGTATCATAAAACATTTTGCCTTTTAAACTATCTTTTTTTTTTTTTTTTTTTTTTTTTTTTTTTTTTGCTGAGGAAGTCAAATTCAACTACTGCTTTCATTTCAGAATTCAGTACTGTACACAAGAAATTATTGTCTTCCGTGAGGACTTAGTGAATAAAATGTGCAGAAACTGTGTCCGCTTCCCTAGTAGCAATTTGGATATTCCTAATCATGTAAGTTAAGAGTCTTCTTTATTAAGCTATCATAAGTGTTGCATTATATAAAATACTGTTAAGTCACTTAATAATTTGACCTTTTATGTTTGTGGTTCAAACTACTTTTGCCAGTAAGTTAATTTTTGTTACTAAGTCAGTGTTTCTCAACTTTGTCACTGAAGTATCCCCTAATGGGCAGAGGGAAGCCTAGAAAGAACCAGAAATTTCTTTGAGTCTTCCTGTTTTGCCTTAAAACTCATAAATCTTACGTTGTACTTCAAAATATATATGTATTTGTTTTAAAAAGTATTTACCTCGGGGCACCTGGTTGTCTCAGTTGGTTAAGCGTCCGACTTCGGCTCAGCCCGTGATCTCACAGTTCATGAGTTCAAGCCCCACGTCGGGCTCTGTGCTGACAGCTTGGAGCCTGGAGCCTGTGTCTCCTCTCTCTGACCCTGCCCCACTCCTTCTCTGTCTCTTAAAAATAAAATAAACATTAGGGGCGCCTGGGTGGCGCAGTCGGTTGGGCGTCCGACTTCAGCCAGGTCACGATCTCGCGGTCCGTGAGTTCGAGCCCCGTGTCGGGCTCTGGGCTGATGGCTCAGAGCCTGGAGCCTGTTTCCGATTCTGTGTCTCCCTCTCTCTCTGCCCCTCCCCCGTTCACGCTCTGTCTCTCTCTGTCCCAAAAATAAATAAACGTTGAAAAAAAAAAAATTTAAAAAAATAAAAAATAAAAAAATAAAATAAAATAAAATAAACATTAAAAAAAATATTTTTTTTAATGTTTACCTCATCATGTTCATTATTTTATATGATCTGTCCATATCGGGAGGGTATGTAATGTTTATCTTGTAGCTTCAGGGTTCCCTGAAGTGGTACATGGATCCCCATATACCATTTTGGGAAATGTGGAGGTACATCTTACAGAGCATTTTTAGTATTTATTTTATAATATTTAAAGTTTATGTAGGCTACGTATCTATTCTTGGCATTACTCAAGCTGTGGAATTATTTTTAGATGAACATAATTAATAACTGAGTTTATTATACAGTTAAAAGTACAACTGTTCCAGTGTGACTACTTTGGGGGAGTAGCTTTTATGATAAGTGGTGTTAAATGAAAACTTACAGATTTTTTCCTAAAATACAGGATAGCTTATTTCATTTCATATCAGTGTTTCTCAAAGTTCTGTGATTTAAACTTCTCCTAATTGTTTCTCAAATTTTCTAAGTCCTTCTGGTAATTGGTATTTAATGTAAAGTTATTTGTTAGCAATTTTAACTTTTACAAATGAGCTGAAGTTTGTTTTATATCATTCTTTTGTAGTTTGTAAAGACGATCTTATCCCAAGGACACCTGACCCCTCTCCCCCTCTATGTCTGCCCAGTGTACTGGGCATATGACTATGCTCTGAGAGTGTACCCTGTGCCTGATCTCCTGGTCATTGCAGACAAATACGATCCTTTCACTGTGACCAATACAGAATGCCTCTGTATGAACCCGGTAAGAATGTCATCAACCTTATATGGGCATAGTTCATCAAGATTGGAGTGTTATTTCTTTAAATTAAAAAATTTAGTAAAATCACTGTTAGGAGTAAAAATATGCTATTAAGGAAACATTGAATTAATGTGGTACACACAGAAAGTTCTTCAACTTTCAGGATAGCATGTGACTGTAAAGTAATGTAACTTAAAAAAAAGAATACACCAAAGCTTATAAATCCAAATGAGTATTTTTCCCCTTCAAGGTAACTTACCTTAGGATTCCTTTCTGGGAATTGCTTTCAGAGCCTGTATCTCATTCTCTTTAAATATTTTAATGTCCTTTGTGGATGATTTTGACTTTTGGAAATTTGTGCAAGTCCCAGAAACCTAAGCTGGATGAATGTGGGAATTCTTACTTGGACACAATTTCTACAGAAGTAGAATTGCCTTTTCATATTTGGGGAATTACTGCATAAACATCGTTGATGTGATACAAACTATCTTCAGTAGTGATTTTTATTTTGTATTCTTCATTGATTCTTATGAATGTTAGACCTATTTTAATACTTTTTTGTTTTGTCTAGGCCATTTCTAGAAACATCATGACTTACTATTGCTTACTGCTTTCCTCAAACACTCATTTATTTTGTCCAGCTTCCTCTAAGACAGGGTTTCTTAACCATGCAACTGTTGACATTTTGAACCAAAGAATTTTTTCTTGGGGAGCACTGTCCTGTGCGTCAGAAGGGTACTTAGCAGCATCCTTGACCTCTCCCCACTAGATGCCAGTAGCAGCCCCCAGTTATTAACAGTGGGAAATGCCTCAGGATATTTGCCAAATGTCCCCTTGGGGGACACAATTTTCTGTGGTTGAGAACTGCTCTGAGGAGGGGCACAGTCAACAATTTGGTTTCATTGTTTGAAATTTGTGGCCTGATTTTTTTAGAACCTTTATTCACTTTTCCAATATTCTTTCACAATGAGGCTATTTCTTATTTAAATTTTACTCTTTGGGTGTTCTCATAGTTAATGCTTTATTTGATAACACCTTATTTCTGAATTTTTCCACTTTCTCATCCAGTAGGCCAGTAAACAGCCCTCTCTACACCATCATTCTGTCCTTTTTTACCTTATTTATACCTTTTGGGCAAGCCCCAGACTTGCCTTTGACATTGCTCCATCCCTTCTTGACACTTCCACTAACGGATGCCTGCAACGGGCCAGACACTGAGTTGGTGGCAGGCACACGGAGACTGAAACAAAAAGACCATCTCTGCCCTAGAGTTGAGTAGTGGACGCATTGTGGGATTACTGCTCAGTTGCTTTGGGGGCACCTGAGAGGGGCATCAACCTAGATTTTTCACTGGAGGGAGAGAGGGGCAGGAAAACTTTCTTCAACATGGTGTTTACGTGTCTTATAGGTGTATGTAGCATTGCACAGTACAGCATTTCTTAGGCTAGGTAGAGCCACCCTAAGCATTTCCAGATACATGTTAGTAGACGACAGTCTAGCCAACTTGAAAGACTTTTGCTTCAGGTGGAGCCATTTTATAGTAATATCTTCTCTCAGCAAAGATGGGGGGGGGGAAACATCTGCCTTATTACTTTATAGTCACATCTTACAACTTTCTTTTTAAGTCATGAGCAAGGAGTTTGATTTTAAAAGTAGGAATTCTTTTTAGGACAGTTGAGTGTTCACTTACAGGCATTTTTTTCTCCCAAAGGGATCTTTTCCAAGAAGTGGATTTTCATTCAAAGTTTTTTATCCATCCAGTAAGATAGTAGAAGACAGGTAAGTGTACCCCCAGAAACAGCAAGAAGGAGGTGTCTTTTAGTAGTGTATTGCTGAAAATCACAAGTCCTGTAGGTGTGCTGAGGTTTTTAAAAATATCTGTAATTGTCTTTTGGAATGTTCTAGGCTGAATTTCTGGTCATGCTGTGGGACATAGAATTGTATGTACTTGGGGCGCCTGGGTGGCGCAGTCGGTTGAGCGTCCGACTTCAGCCAGGTCACGATCTCGCGGTCCGTGAGTTCGAGCCCCGCGTCGGGCTCTGGGCTGATGGCTCGGAGCCTGGAGCCTGTTTCCGATTCTGTGTCTCCCTCTCTCTCTGCCCCTCCCCCGTTCATGCTCTGTCTCTCTCTGTCCCAAAAATAAATAAACATTGAA